CCGGTGGTGGAATGTTCGATAAGGAGAAACGGTAACGGCGTCCTGGCGGTGGCTAGGACGACGTAAAGCGTCGCGGAGCGACGATGAGCTAGACGCATTGGATTAAAGGACAGGATCGGTGAAGCGCGACAAGCGATCGCGATATCGCGAGAGCTTTGGTCCGTGACTCCGATTTCGAGTCGCACACGACGCGCTGGAACTACAGAGACAAGAGTATGCTTCGGTTAAGTTGTTAGAATTAAATTGCCCCGAAGTTCCGATTTCAAAAGCGATTCTCTGTCTTGTGAAAATCTATCCGAAAACGAAACGCGTACAAGGAATGTCAGAAGTTTGGTCCGATAGGAGGACAAGCAAAGAGATCCCAACATCGTAGCACGAAGCGACAACGTACTCGATTAATCGTAGAAGACATTAGTGAAACAAGCGTGACAGCACCGTTGCGCGAGATGAAGCATAATTCTACTTCCTGCTTTATTGGGGGCGTGGTGATTGCGGCAATTTATGAATTCCTAAATTTTTAACCTCCCACCCCAAACCTAAGTCTGTATACTTCGCTACTCCTCCTCTCGTCGAACTTCCTTCGCTTTCCGTCCTCGTGTCGCATTCAATCAGTATTACAACTAATCGAGAATAAATTTACTGCCAACTCTTCCTCAGCGTGAACAATCGTGTGAAAAAATTCATACTACGTGACCATAAGGATAATAATTTTCAAAATAGCTGCGCTATAAATAAACCGATAATGATCGTAATTATTGATGCAAAAGTTTTACATATCTAAATTTCATCGTTTTCGCTTTATCTTTATAAGTTTAATTATAATCCAAATTACATTGGGAAAATTAACCATAACGAAAACTAGAGATATCATTCTCCAATTACATGACACCATATAATTTTCTCTGTGAACTTGTTTTATTTTTCAATAATAATAATAATAATAATGATAATAATTAGGGCAACTAAAATTATGCTGTAAAAATCTCTCTTTAAGCGCCTAAAATATGCTCTGTGAAATTAAAAAAATGCTCTAAAGAAAAGAATATATGCATTTGAGAATTATTTTTTATCGCACAAATTTTCAAAATATTAATTAGGTTTTTATTTATAATAATGTAATCATAAATTTAAATTAGAAAATGATGTGAAATGTAAAATAAAAATAGATAAAATATTTAAATATTGTGCATGTGTGGGTAAAAATATGCAAAAATATGCTATAACATATATGACTCAAAATGGCTAATATATTATGAAACAAATTTGTATTTAGTTTATTTCTTTATTAGTTAAATAAAAAAAAAGATGCCCTATACATATTTTGGTTGCCCTAATATAACAATAATAAAATTTCATCATTATAAAATATTGCCTTTATATTATTGTTTTTATTGTTATATATTATGTAAACAACATAAATAAAATACACAACTGCGATATGTATGATCGATAACTTTAATTACAAAAATTTTTCTTGTTTCTTAAAAAAAAAAATCTTTAATTTTTTCCAGTGCTTTCTGCAGTTTTCTTCTGGTCCTTCCTCTCATTTCAAAGATCCTACTCCTCGAAAAGATATCCGATAAAGAGAAACGATTATAACGAGAAACTACCACTTTGTAACGTGCCGCGGAGGCCGATTAATCGCGGAGAATCTGCCGGTACCGTTGTACGAAATCTGTGTAATTTGTAAACTTTTTTACCGTCCGCAAATGTATAATTTGATTCGGTTTAATCTCCGTCTGGAACGCGACGCAGCCGGGACCGTCAGCGAGTACTTATTACTGTGTAGGGGAAAGTGGAAATAAAACGTAACAATCTTTAGATCCGATCAGTTTTTACAAAGTCAGAAATAAGAATCATTTCATGAAAAATCGTACAAATAAAGGTCAATAATTAAAAAAAAAATATCTATCTATCTATATATATATATATATATATATATATATTTATGAGGAATTACTTTACACAGGAAACTCTACTAAAAATTAATAAAATATTTATCGAAATATTGCTCATTAAAAAAATACCTTAGTTGCAGAGTACAATAACTGTAAGACAAATTTTCCAAATCATTATTTAAAAGCAAATATAAATGCTTTTATAATATTTAAAAGTATTTTCAGAAAGTCATTTCCTATATTACCAATAATAAGCATTACAAAAAATAATAACAATGTATTTAATAAAATTCAATATCCTATGGGTATTATCTTTCCTTTAATTAAATAGTTAAATCGGCATATTTTTGTTACATACTTAATTATACATGATAACATGAGTAACAGATTATTTTGTGCGGCAATAAAAGACAATGTTATAATTATATACTGCGATATAGTGTGTGTTTTTAATATTAAACGGAACACACACTAACGACCAAAAGTGACGAGCAACAGGACACGTAAGTTATTATTTTATTAACCGGCGTCGTCGACCAGCGATAAGACGGGCGATTAAAAGTCGGCCTCGATTAGTTATTGAAAGCTTTAACGAAGCGGTTGTAATTTCTGCCTAGAATTTAGATTTGTTCGTTTACTAATTTCGTGCTAATGAGAGACGTGCCGCGCAGATCGGTCCGCACCTTAACGATTATCCCTCTGCTGCTCTTTCCGTTCCTTCTGGGAACGCCTAACGGAATAAATCAAGCACATACATACATACACGCACATACAAACGCATACAGTCGATCTAAAAAAAAATGCTCTTCATTGAGATATTTCAGGTAACGGACAGGCGGAGATTGCGGGATTTTCTCGACGCGCGATGTCTCTCGATCCGTGACAAATTAACCCCGTCCGTGTCACATTGTATCTAACGTGGCAGATATATACGTGCAATAACTAGTTTTAATCGTCGGGTTTCGTGTTTTGCCGCGTTTTTTTCTTCCCCGCAAAACGGGACAGTGAAGCGCCGGTGTACTTTGCCGACCTCCGGTGTATGATAATCTGCCCTATTCTGTATAGACGTTCAGTGAATATCATTAAGTTTTAACGATTCGCCTTATGGAACGTCCGCGCCACGTCCTTCGAGCCTCTTAGCTCTCACTCTCTGAGGTCTTTCTGTCATTCTCTCTCCCTTTCTCGTCCGTCTCGCACCATCTTTTTTTCTACGCAACGCGCTGCCGTTCGCCGGTAATTATCGCGGAAAGCGCGGAAAGCTGTAAACTTTAACGATTGTCTCTAAACGGCTCGTAAAGCGCACGTTAACGAATTTGCGAAACTGAAATCCATCATCGGGGACATAAATCGTCAACCTACGAACGTACGGCCGAACGGGCACGGAAAACATCACGGTTCAGCGGCAAGAAATTTTCTCGAGGTCAGGTCTTTTCGTCATCGTAAGAGCCCTTGCAGTACGCAACCAAAATCTTAAAGCCGCAAAAGGATGCTGCATCTTTGATGGGAGTTTCAAGATCTTTCTCAAATCTTTCCTTGAACAGACATTAATAATAAGATGATGTCCCGCACGTTGTAAGATAGAAGCATCTTTGCGTTGAAGAAATCTCAATCAAATATGAAAGCTAGGAAAATCTATGAGCACTGAAAATGATATCAATTTGTTACAACCTCTAATTATTTCAGTGAAATCTTCGATGTCTTGATTCCAAAATACTCTTCCGCTCTTAATATTTAAGAAGAATGCCGTATTACGATTATTCGTATTGTAAGCTCGTTGTGAATATTATCCATACTTATCACATTTTATGATATTCCGAGAATATCTTTCCATTGATAACTCAATATGCCGTCACACATCTGAATTATTAAATTATTAATTTATTTATCGTCAATAAAATAAAATTTAGTGCATACTCTGTTACATCAAAATATTTCTCTCTTTTAGTGTCATTATTAACATTGTACATGTTTGTTTTGTGACCAAAAAAGTAAAAATATTATATGTGTTATGTAATAATATAATGAAATTACATAAGAAAAACAAGTAGGATTAAAATATTAATCATTTTCATAAGTGGAAATAATAAAATTATAACGTTATTTAGATCGTTATAAAAGTATTATTCTAGTATTAAATCAGGAAAAGTTACTAAAGTTATCCATAAAAACGCATTTATATTAGATCTCGCAGTACGAATATTTTAATCGACCATAAAGATAAACCATGAAAAATTGGAAAGGAGCATGAAGGGATACAAGAAAGAAAAGGAGCGTACCAATAATAAGGTTTAAAAATTTTTCAAAAAAGGTTAAGAAAATTTTCATGCTTAAACGACTAGAACGAGACTCACGCGATGAATTTACAAGAAAGTATCTTCTTTAAATAAGAAAAGGACTAGAAGTTTTAAGACGCTACCAATATTCCGGATTTATAGAGATAACGGTATCATTACTTGAAAAGAAGAAAGGTATTTGTCAAAATCTTTTATAATGAGAATAAGTCTTCCCCTTTGTCGAAACGTGTTTAAACAGCATTACTAGCAAAACTAATTTTATTCCTAATATTTGTGAAAACTAACATGTGAAAATGCAGTAGAGTAAACATGTTAATATTAACCCTCATAAATCATATTATCTGTCAAGGAACGCTTTAGAAGAAAATGAAAGGACTAAAGGAAAAAAACAGACAATTTTAAAAAAGGAACTCACCGACCACCTTTACAAAAGATTCATTTATAGAGTGAAGGACACATATAGCTTTTGTCCTACTATTCGGGTATTATATATGGTCATACGGAAAAGTGACAAAAAAGTGATGGTTACAGGCTGTAATTTCTTCAATGATTGCTAAATAGAGCATTTTTATGGTCATTCTAAAAGCATATCCTTACCCTAATATGTAACGCTTGTTACGACGAATGCATTGAAAAATCAGTATCTAGACGAAACGTGTAGATAAGCTACACGTTTCACGGATTAACACGGTAGCATACACTCTACAAGAATAGAGATACAGCAAATAGAGATTTAACGTATACATGTAGAGATACCTAAAGCTAAATATATGACGCTGACGTAGGCACGTCGACTGGTCGAACTTACCTGCGGGCACATCTTGCATTGATACTTCCTCGGTGGATGCGAATGAGGTCCACCAAGATGGGAATTTAGATGCGACGGATGGGAAGGTTTTACGGTGAGTGGTTGAGGAACCACCAAAAGACTGGCTGGCGGACTTCCGCTGCTCGAGCCACCGGCGCCTCGATACTGCTCATCACCTGTAATCATTCACAGATTCGAAACTAAATCGGGAATCGCCTTGAATGATGTTTGTTCGAATGGACGGAACGTCCATCGAGGACACAGAAATGTGGTGTGATATCGTAAACATCGCCGCTTGCGTTTTAATTACTCTCGATTATTTCCATCCCGCGACCTACTTCGAATATAAAGCGCACTCCCCGAGTGGAAAGTGACACAGTAACTATAGCAATCATAGACATTTCCCAAGCACTTAATTGAACGTTGATTATAGATCCAGCACACGGTATATGTGTTATTGATGCGTTTTGCGAGCAAGATTGTCCGATTAGATATTTTTTGCGTCTCAGTAATTTATTCCGAATTTAAAATACGACGCAAGGCGTCAATATACATCATATTGTTTGTGAAGCATTAATCTAGTTATTAATAGAATATAATCGAGCGAATATCTAATGAGCACTGTTTAGAGTTCTGTGTACGATAAGAAGCCTTATCCATCATGCAGAGTTACTTTGAGTTATTGTGATTCGTGAGTTGTCGCGATTTATCAGCGAATCCTGCAAGACTTGAGGTGTTTTTCTTATGTTTCTCGCTTACGTTTGTCGCGATAAGTAGTACGCATAGATCTACGCACGCATACAATTATTATCTATGCACACACAGGTGCGCGCCGACAATGATATATCGAGAAAGAGGCACACGGACGATCGAGCGGTCGACCGACTGACGCAACTCACGGCGGCGTGCAAGGGGCAAGGATCCTGCGGGTTGCAAGGACGAGCGATCCTGCGTTACGAGTGTGCCTGTCATTAAGACGAGTTCTCAATATCGATCGGCGCGCATAAACGCGGAGTGGCGCTCGGTCGACAGGTTGAATTGGCTATATCATCGTGCGGTTGTGCCCGTTCACGGTATTCCGCTACTACTTTGCGCTCTTACGCATCGACACTTAAACACATCACGCTTCTTATGCATGCAAGCCTGCAAAAATATATCGTCATCCTTTCGGCGCGAGAATATTCACGATTAAATCTCACTATCCCGCGCGTTTCAATCTAGCGGAGATAACTTGGTCGATAAAGGCGAACGATAAATATCTTAGACACGCAGACGATTTATTTGCTCTTTTCGAAATATTGCTTCTGGAATGAGTTGTCAATTGCAGAAACTCTAACAAGAAGAAAGAAACTATCCGCACTTTATTCTACGTTAATAACTTCCGAGATACTTTCGCAATTACTTCTGTACTGTCAGACATTCCGAAAAAATTGGACGTTAATTATTCGAAATTGAAATATCGTATTTCAAAGTATAGATATCGTTGTATTTAAGACAACTAACTAGTAAAACTACTTTATACAAATACTTTATAATACGTAACAGAATTCAGATTCTGTTTAGAATTTTAAATAATTTAGATAATGCGACAAACACTTGAAGAATCAAAATTTCCGCACATGAAAAATACACTTAAAAAAATATTAAATTTTAATAAATATTTATTTGAATAATTAAAAGTAGATATTTACTAAACATATATTTATATGACATAAAAACCATAAATTTGATTTAATTCATCATTTCTTTTTATTGATCTCGCTCAGACATTCATTTAAGTAGTTTTATGACTCGATCGTACAACAACATAAATATTTATTTATTTAGTATTTTTTTTTCAGTGTATATATTATATATATATATATAATACATGCATAGATCGAATACACACAACATATCAAAATACACAACATGTGAAATTCTAAATATAAATCTGACGCGAATTATTACAGATCTGCAGTGGAATAAAATGTATGCGGCAAGATGTTATTATAGACACAACTTTTAATTGACCTGTGTCACCTATGCTGTAAAGATACGATTGTTGGCTTTGCTTATCTCAACAATTAATTACAAGACTAATATGATCACGATACGAAATCCTTTCTTTTTACGGGAGCATCCTTTCTCGCGTTCAAGAAAGTCGGCATACCAGCGGCAAAAACGACCGGAAACGTTACCGGCATTAAACGAAGGAAGTTATAATAAATTATATACTTGATCCGTTTCCTGCCAATAATAGAAAAGTTATCGCTCGACCTTGTACAACGAACAAGTGCCTCAAACATGAAGTGTCTGGCTCGCTCGGACATTCATTTAAGTAGTATTATGGCTCGATCGTACAGCAACAGAGACGTCCATATTATAATTTTTAAATTCCGGTTTGTGTATGTCGCAATCCAGATGAAATATCATTTCTATAATCTTATTTTTATAAAGCGTTGCGAAAGTTCTAAAAAAAAGGGGGAAAGGAAGAAAAGAAAAAGAAGGAAATTAATGATTTACATCGCCCTCCCCCTCCCCCCTCATTAATGACTTCATAATTTATTAATAGATCCTTTACGCCGCTCCGCGATTGCCGCTTGCGCGCATCCTCCGCTCGTTAAGTTCAGTTCAGAAGCGAGGACCCTTCTCTTACAAGGACGGGGGCATCCCATGACTTTTACGACAATGCACGTCGAGTGCGTTCGGTGAAGTGTGCGCGTAGGCGGTGGAAGATGCGCTTCTCTGAAGCTGGCAGCCCACGCGCGTCGATTTCGCTTAGAATCAATGTTAAACATGCAAAGGATAGTCACGAGAGTTCATGCGTGCCGGACATTACGTGCAAGAGTGTCGATCCGCGCGTAATCCAAGTAGGCAAAGCGACAAATAGACGTCACTGCTACATTTATATATATATATATATATAAAATCCGTTTATTTAAATCACATGAATATAAAGATGCGCTTTATAGAATTTATACTTGCGGACCAGCAAGCATTTGAGTGTTCAATATTGATATTAATTAATGATATAACTATGAAATCGACAGCTATTTGCAATTTAGGGCGAATCTCGCCGACACAGATGTTTATTTTAGATTGCCAAATTGAATGCATTGATCTATATAAAATCAACGTGATATATTATGTAAATCGTTAAACATAGCACTAATAAAATATTAATTTTATATGTGACATAGTATTTTATTAAAATTATATATATATGAATTGTATTTAAACCTTTATAATTAATACTTCTTTAAATCCGAGCGATTAAGTGAATTAATGTTTGCGCGGAATTGAAGTAATCGCTAGATGATAATAATGTTGGTGTATAATGAGAAAATTGCGCGAGTATAATATCGAGCGCAGCATCAAAGTTCAAGGCGCAACATACATAATTGCGATGCAATTCCCAATAACTTCATTGCGCGAAAAACCGCGCTGCTTACGTAACATTTAAAATTTATACATATATATAATCGAATTAAAATTTATCGTAATCTATACGACACGCTTTATTACTTGGATGTCTGTCGCGCGAATCTATACGACGTTATGTGGCCTTTTTTATCGCCTAACTTATCCGATGCATGGCGTTACGCAATCGATAAGCGCGCATATACAAGTCGAAATCATAATCAAGCATTAAGACAGGTGTGAACAGGTGGCTATTTTCAAAGCGAGTTAAATAAGCCTCGTACACACGGTGTTATTATCTTGAATTTATTTATTTTATATTGCGCACCGTTTTCATGCCTAGCAACTCGCATTTCTCTCTTTAACACGTCTTTTATACAAATGGTCGCGCTCGAAAGAATTTTCCTCTCCTCTCCCCTTCCCTACCGCAACAATTATGCGTGTCATAAACTTTATCCAGCACAATTTCCGATCTCCCTTGTAGATGGCGTTATTTAAATTTACGAATGTTAATTATATGCGTGCCATTTTAATTTTAAAGCGGCACAGGGCGTTTCGTCATGAGGAAACGGCGCTCGTGGATAATTATTTATCAACTTCGCGCCGCTGCAGTGGTTAAAAATTTTCACAATATCCTTTTTGTATTAAATGAATTCCATATAAATACGTATGGATAAACTTGAAACTATGAGGCACAGAGTCCGATTCGCCGTCGGACAATCGGCGATCGTTCCGGACTGTGCGGTTCGCTTCCAAGAATCGATATCTTGCAAATCATCGTCCCCTCGATTCCCGCAATGACTTATTCGCGCCGCGCGCCGCTCTTTTCGCCCAATCGACCAATCTCAGAACGCGCGCGAGATATACGTAACGTTCTCCTCGCGGCATAACTAATTGATCTTTCCAGCGCGCTTGAACTCGATAATTATCATTTACATGCGTGATCTCGTGTGCGCGAGAGTCGCGGTACTCTTTGGCCGTAGCACCGGCAATCGAAGGAGAGGTGGCGGCCTCTCTTCGTCACCGATGCTGCACACGGCATACATCGTCGGGAAAAAAAAAAAAATACGAGACCTGCACATACCTCAGAATAAAATGCGCTACATCTGTTTGTAGAAGTCAGAACAGGCGCATGAAAATAAGGATAAAAGCGAAAATGTAAATGGAACTGGATGTGAACGAAAAGGAGAAGGGGACTGGCAAGTTATAGCGTTCGTTCGTAGAAATATACCTCTCTTCGTAATCCATGTAATCTCTACACGATCCTTTTAATAACATTTTGCTCAAGATTACACCGTCCTTATATATTCCGCAATTTTTTTCGATTTATGTTTATGGTGTTTACAATATTGTGTCATGTGAAACATTAACGTACACTTAAATTAATGCAATATTATCAATTAAGAAAATGAAGAATGAAATGAAAGAATATAAAATGCAAACAAGTTTCTATATACAGGGTGTTTCCAAATTAAATCGCAAAACTTCGGGAGCGTGTAGAGGAGTAAAAAACTAAGAAAAAAAGTCCTATAGACATATGCTCGTTTTTGCTCCGTTTCAGAGAAATCGAAAAAAAATGTTTACATTTCTTGCCATATCTAGCACCGACATATTTGATTACATTTTCCACTTTCTGTTATGAATTTGTCAGTCGCTCTTTGAAAGCCTTTAACAGTAGATGAATTTTGTCTTTTGCAATATGCCGCGTACGTATTCTAATAGTGAATATGCTGATATGGTTTTTGTATACGGTTTCTGCAACGGTAATGCTTTA